TCTCGCACGTAATGCCAAAACACCGACACACCTATTCTCCGGAATTTGTTCCTACCGCCCAGCCTCGTCTACGATACACCATTCCCGATACCGGCGGCCATCTTGCGCCATGACGTCGTCGCCGTCACCGAAGGCGCGCCCGACTCCGCCCGAGCGCCACCGCCGTCGTCGTCGCCGTCGTCGTCGTCGTCGTCATCGTCGTCATCGTCGTCATCATCGTCATCGTCGTCGTCGTCGTCGTCGTCGTCGCTATCGTAGGCCGCGACGTTTCGTGATCGGCGAAGCGCGCCGCGACAGTCGAAATCGATCCAAGTCTCGCATACGCTGCAAATTAGCTATGAAAAAAAATAATAAATTAATCACTAGAGATGCGCGTAAAACGCATGCGGAGCTAAGAAATAATTTACAAAGTCTACAAAGCGGGAGAGAGGACTGAAAAAATAAAATGACAAAATCGGTCAATCGATTTTAAACAATTATAAAGTTTTTCATAATCGATCTAATATCTTGGAAATATATAAATAATGAATGATTAATTCGTATTTTTTTTTATAAAAATCTAATATTAAATTAACATGATTTTGAGACCAACGATGATTTTGAGACCAAATTTTAACTTAACTTTTATTAACTTAATTAGTAATTAATTTCATTGGTGTTTATAATAAAATTTTTAATCGTATAAGTGATCTCGATCTAATTTTTCTTTTCATGCATCAAACTGCAAAACATCAATTATATCCATATTTACAAAATACCATAGAGATCTTTTTGTTGTTGACTGACAAATAAGTTAATGAAAGCTTGATAAAAGTAAACGAATAGATAAAAAATAAATTATGAAAATATACTTTCCTGATGCGTTAAAAGTAGAACTCTGTTTTATTTCTTTATTTTTAATTTCTTATTTTTTTCATTTCTGTTTATTGTGTCTATAATTAATGTATCGTAATCAATTTTCTCTCGTATGTATTTATTCTAGAAAAATAAGAGATTAGCTAACTCTCGCTTTTTGCCGCGCAGAATATGCAGCATGCGCATTAGTTGCCTATCCTGCGCGTAGACGCCAATGGTGCCAATGTCGCCATAGGTGCTCGATAAAATTTACTAATCAAATTTAGTAACATCGAATAAAAAGTTGTCGATATAGGGATTAATCGAATATAAAAATATGAAGCAAATCGATTTCTCAAGGAATACGAATATCGATTATCGCGATCGACCTTTGATTCCTGTTATGAAATTTATCAGGATTGTTATCATTTTCTTTACATTTTCAAAGTCAAAGAGCGGTATTCATAGATATTTCTTGGTTAAGAATAAGATTTTTTATTTATACACTCATATATAGGTGTATTTCATCAATATTATTACTTAATATAAGAAACATTTAGTAATATAAATAAAAGTTTAAGAGAATACATCATGTCTTGTACATATTAATAACACTTAAAAAATCATATAAAACTGATATTAAATTTTTATCAATTTATGTAGTTGATAATAATACATTTAGATTCTAGACTCTAAATGTATTTCTAGAAATTTAGAACATAATCGTATATAATTTCACATTGTCATAAAGGAAGATTTATTGTATGTAAAATAATTGACATTTATATACATTTGACATTGTATATACAATTTGCAATTATTATAAAGATTAATGTTTTGATATTTTTATGAAATATATCAAATTTCTTAACTCGTTTTATCACAAGATTTCCTTGTAAGACTGATGATTGAAAAGTAAGAAAATTAATAATTGACAATTGAATATCTAAAAATATGCAAATGCAATTGCAAAAATCAATTTAAACCAATTTTATTTTGATGTTCTAATCTTTTCATTATTATTATTTATTAATTATGAAATATTTAATTTTTCTCGATAAATTAATAAAATAGATATTAATTAATGATCTCTTTTATTATCTAGATAAAAATATAACATAGAATCTTATATTTTCAATTATCTTATATTTTCCAACTTTGAAACTTTTACTTTCGAAAGAGATATGATTTAGATAGTCTACAGGTACAATTTAGACAATCAGTGCCTAAATCTTCTCTATCTTTTGCAATAAGTTAAAAAAGATTTGTAACAAATTAATTTGTTATTGGTAGAAAACATATCATAACAGATATCTGAAATATCAGGCAGACAATTTCCAACATTTATTTGCATACAAATCAGAATTAAATAGAAAGTATAATAAAAAAATAATGAGGTTGCACTTATTCAGCCAGCTTTCCCTAATTGAACTGGAATTATGTATCGCGGGATACTTGATCGTCCAATGATACGTTCTCGAGAAATTTTAACTGTATGATGCACGGAGACTGCGCTACGGCGTGAGATGCTGGATGATCAATAGTGTCTGAACCAGAGCGGACTCGAGAAGTTACGCGTTGTTTGATACGGCATCATGAAAACCGTAATGCACACTTGTATACCAGGTGCCGCCGGTGAGTGCAAGATATTTTTCGATAAACATTTTTAAAATATCAATAAATAGGGCGCATTAATTATTTTAGGTGTTGGCAATTTTTAACATTTTTCGTATGAGGCGTAGTTTGAAGTGTATCGAATAACATGACAAATTGTACATTAGACATCGATAATTTCTAATTCTTAGACGATTATTGAATTAACTTTTCAATTAAATATTTATAAATTAACTTAATTATTTAAAAAGATTTTCACATAAAATGTCCCCCTTCTGATCGCCTATCGCGGTATTATATTACAAATTATAGTTATATTTACAAATTATAGATTGCTGATTTGTTTCAAATTACAGATCTTCCCTCTGGGGAATCGATCGAGGAGATCGCCGAATCTGTAGATGAATTACGAGAGAAGCTTGCCAATATGAAGAAGCTCATGAAAGAGCGTAAGGGCACGACACTGGGCGAGATTAGTGCCCAAAAAAGAAGATCGAATCCTAACATGATAGACGGCAATCTCTTATCCTGGATTTTCGGAATGGCCCTCATGGGAATTCTGCTCGTCAGCTCCTATGCCTTTTACAATCTTTATCATGCGGTGCTGAAAAAATTTCCATCTCATCATACGGAATTATAAAGAGATTATGCGAAAGCAAGACGCGAATATTGAAAATTTCCATAAAAGATACAATTGGTCTTGCTTAATTTGACTGTTAATTAATTATGTAGAAAAAATTCTAATGTCGCCATGTGTTCTTCTCGCGACAAATTCCTTGATTGATTTTTTTTTCAATGCAAATGTTGTCAATGAAAAATTATATCCAAATAATTAATGATTAAAAATGAAAAATTTAAATATTATCAGTGTGATATGGGTTTTCAATGAAACGAATCGTCAAAAAGTTTAAGTTAATAGTGTCGAAAAAAGGATTAAAAGATATAATAAATAAATAACAAATACAATAACTCGTGAAAAAGAAAAACACGATACAAATTTTCAAAGAGAGAAATACATATTTATTTTATCAATTCAGCTTAGATAAAATTTATAGCAATAAGAACTTTTTTCTAAGAACTTTTCCTTTTCTGTCCTTCATCAGGATCCAATAAATTAATTGATTTCGCGCGTAGTAATAATTATAATTGGTAAATTTTCATGTATAATGTATGCAAAATTATTTAACTAATTATTCTGCTTTCCTAAAATTATACACATACACACACATACATATATAATGTGGAGGAATATTTCTTTGTACAAAATATAAATGAAATAGTAAAATGATAAAGTGCCTTAAAAACTTATAAATTTATTGTTTACATTATTTATGTCATAATGTGTTATTATAACATATATATCACATATATAAATATTTATATGCTAATTTTGACTAATTGCATTTGCAAAAATGTTTCATATTCTTACTAAATCGGACAAAATTTATTTCTCATTATTATATATTAGAATTAAATAGTGTTATTAGTATCATATTAGCATAATATGTTAATTTTTCTACTTTAAATATCAATACACATGTATATGGTGTATATGTATATGTATATGGTGTATATGTATGTGTATATGGAGTATATTTGTATACATGTATGTAATGTATGAATAAAAATATTAAATCTCAATCAAATTAAAATTGCAACATTTTATCTCAATATAGGAACATGTAAAAATATTATAGAAATGATTGATGTAAAGATTTTTCTGTCTGTTGCTTTAGCAAAATTATTAAACATTCTTTGGATGCGTGTGTGCGTATGTATGTTAATAATTATTATTATTATCTTAAAATACACGATAAAATATATTAAATTTTATTTTAGTCATAAGATGTTTAACAAGATATTAACAGCTAACCAATATTACATACCAAAAAGCTGCAATATTAGTAATAGTTAAGCAATAGTTGCATGATTCTTTTAATATTTCTTTCTTTTCAATTAGTGTCATCATTTCTTCTTAATAGTATACGTAGATTAACAATGGTGATTGATTTCCAAAGGAATTTTTAATATTTTTGAAGGTAAAATCTAAAAAAAGAAGAAAAGATTCAGAAAAATTGTAAATTTTACTTCATTAGCAATATGGAATAAAAATAAGATTGACAAAAGTCATATTTACTCACGCGTTTTTTCAACTCCACTATTTCAGTATTATACTGAAATAAATAGGAATAAAATCGATTCTATAAAGATAAAATATGATATAATCTTATATATATCTCACCAGAATCATTATAAATGCTATAATGCATAATTCGACGAAAACAAAAGTGCATAATATTTTCGAACTATAAAAATCTAAAATGTTCGGCCACATTTTGTGATAAAAGCTAAACAGAAATCGTAAAAATGACAGAGTTACGGAAATTGTGTTCACACATTTATATTATAAATTTTATAGTAATTTCGGCATTTAATAATCTAAGTCGAGTTTTAATATCGCAATCTATCAAAAAATCTATTAAACAATTGAAAAATTACTATTGCAATTTTTCATTTAAAAAAATTAATTTTTCGATATCTCGATAGAAAATTCGATAAGAAGATGAAGATCGATTAGAGCGCGGAACACAGTTGTATGTACATACTTACTTTGTTAGTATGTACATACCTACTACATACAAGAAATTATATATCTTATTAATTATTAATATAACATGACGGAAATAATTTAACACAAATAAAAATATTACAACAATAATAGTAATAATAATTATCATTACTCATAATCATTATATGAATAACTAAATATAATATGCAGAAATATATATTTGTATATATAATTGAGGTAATTCGAAGATTATATAATCGGGATATTATATATAATAAATTTGTAATTGTATATTGTTATAATATATATTTCAAACCTGACAAGAATAAATAGAGCAATTGGAAGTGTATATCTTCACTCCGAAATTTTATCGATTTAGAATCTGGAGTCTCGATTATACAAGACATAAGATATTATAAGCCTTGAATCTTTTCCAAAGCCACATATCACCGCCTTCGAATTACGAGATCCAGCGATCGATTTGAGATTGATTTCTCTTCGAAGAGAAACAACCGGTCTGGCCTCCGGTAATTTCGGTATCGGTAGGCTCACGAATTGGACGTATCACGCCTCGCGCGTTGTTGCGAATCATCAGTGACGTTTAATGTTGAGACAACTTCATCCGAGATATGCGTATTTGCCGCTCGCGAGGAACAAGAACAATTCAGGTTCAAAGGCAAAGGGTTTGGTCAGCGCTCATTACATAACCTACGATGAGGGCCGGTCACGATACTCGTCGACGATTGCAGGTCGTAATCTGTCATTCAGCGAGAAGAATCGTTTGCCCGATAATCCATCATACTTGCCGTCCCAATCGCAGATCGTTATCGCCGGTGCCGGGACCGTCGCCAATTCTGTTGCTTATCATTTAGTATTGAACGGATGGAACGATGTCCTCGTTCTGGAGCAAAACACGTAAATCTAAAAGTCTTCTTAAAGTCTACTCTAGATTTCATATATTTGGAACCAAATTAGTAGTTTCTTTCTTAACAGATTGGTAAAATTTTGCTGATTGATAAAATTTTGTTTGCAGATTTTGGCATATTTCTTCTGATATTTTATTCACAAAATCTACATTGAACACTTTGCAAAAAAAAAAAAACAACATTTTTTATAGATATACTTGGTTAAAAGTTATTGAACATTGAAAAAATGACTCTTTGATTATAGCATTGGCAGTGGATCCTCACACTTTGGCTCTGGTACGCTTGGACTTTTCAAGCCAATTTCTCGAAGGAACTTAATTTCATACAGCATCAAGTTGTATCAGCAGCTACAGGAAATGGGCTATGACATAGAATTGAGGCAATGCGGTAGCATAAATTTGGCTCAATCCAAAGATAGAATGGTGGCTCTTAAAAGGAGAATGGCTTATAATGTACCAACTGGATTGCATTGTGAAGTAAACATATCTTTTTATTACTAATTATAATTTATTTAATATTAATATAATCCAGCTTTGCACTTGAATAGATTGACCAAAGATAATCTTTATGAAAAGCTGTATTGTGAAAAAAAGACCAATTTTATTAAATTAATAAACCTTTTTATTCTATATGGCGCAAAATTATTGTGAGGATTGAATTGGATTATAAAATTATTAACATGTTATAGATCTTGGGTAAAGAAGAATTAAAAAGATTACATCCCTATTTACATGTTGAGGATATAGAAGGAGCAATTTGGGTACCAGAAGATGCTGTTGCAAATCTAAATGCAATTTGCAAAGTCTTAGCAAAATTGGCAAAACAAGGAGGAGCGCAGTACATCGAGCACTGTCGCGTGGAAGAAGTAAAGACTGAAAAAGGTGCTGTTAAAAGTGTCAAGACTGAACATGGTACTGTTTCCTGCGAGTACTTCATTAATTGTGCCGGGATGGTAGATATAAATCCTCATAAAAATTGTAAATGTAATTATAGCATTCAGCTGTAAAATTATCTATTTGTTCATGAATGCCATAGTGGGCTCGAGAGTTAGGATTGAAATGTATACCGCCAGTTCGAATTCCTGCGTATCCTGCAGAGCATTTATACGCAATCATACCTCCCCTGTCATCAGAAATTAGTACATCTCTGCCATATATACGAGATTTTGATTCATACTCGTATATGAGAGAATGGGAAGGTACATTGTGTTTCTTGTATATCTTTATATTGAACATTTTTTTATAAATTATAGATATAAAGATATATATTTAGAATGTACTATACTTAGAATGTATGTATTTAAATTATTTATAAAATTGCTATCGATAATCAAGGTGGATTCTTACTTGGTTGGTTTGAGCCTGATGCAAAAGCAGCGTTTGGCAGCGGTCGAGTTCCTTCAAAAGATTGGACAAAACATGTTAAAAACGATCCAGCTCACTGGCAACCATTATGGGACAAAGTTATACATAGATTACCAATCTTAAAAGAAATAAAACATCCAAATATATATAACTGTCCTGACAATTTCACTCCTGATGGTAGATGGATATTAGGAGAAAGTCCTGAAGTAAAGAATTACTTCGTTGCCGTTGGAATGAATGGCAATTCATTACAAGGTAAATCTCTTCGAAATGCCTGACTTCTCCGACTTTCATTTCATTATCTTGTCAATCATCAGATATTGTTATATGTTTTTGGGAAAGGCGCTGGTGGGATTGGTAAAGAAATCGCCGAATCTTTAATAAATGGTGAATCCACACAAGAGGTGTTCCCATTTAATGTGCAAAGATTTTTAGATTTACACAACAATAAGCAATATCTGCAGCAGAGGATGAAGGAAGTAGTTGGTCGAAATTACGCTATATTATATCCTCATCAATCTGAATATAAATACGCCCGTAAATTGCGTTGTTCTCCTTTATATTCTGTTCTGGAAGAACGTGGTGCAATTTTTGGCGTGAAAATGGCTTATGAACGTCCACTTTATTTTGATCCTACTTACAGACGTGAGTTCCTTTAAGTATTAAATTTTTTAACATATCATTGAATGAAAGCATGTTATAAAACTTTTTTATTTTTATATTAAAAGGAGATCAGAAAAAACCGATTATGCCCAAAGGTAGCTTTTACAAACCAAAATTCTTTGACTTTATGAAAGATGAATTTCAAGCATGCAGAGAAGGAGTTGGGATAATAGATATGAGTTCATTTTCGAAAATTGAGATTAAAGTAAGTGATTAATACAATCAAGTCAGTAAATTGGAAATAATAATAACTTTTTTTCACCTTCTCTTACTTCGTTGTTCTTTATAAGAATCAGAATCTTTTTTAAAATTCAAAAAATTTTCAAAATTTATAATATTTTCTAAAGTATATTAAAATTATGATATATACGTAATAACGTAAGCTCCTATTTAAGATTTGATGAAATATATTTTTGTTTTTAACGTCACAGATCAAAGCATATTTTCATTTTGTTATATTTATTTTTTTAATAATCAATTTTCTTGTAGTCTAGTCGTGGAGAAGTAGTAGAATATCTACAACGATTATGTTCTAATGACGCTAATATACCAGTTGGTGGAATAGTTCATACAGGAATGCAAAATGAGAAAGGTGGTTATGAAAATGATTGTATGTTGGTACGACAAGGAGAAAATAATTATTTTATGGTCTCGCCTACATCACAGCAAACGCGTATTTATCAATGGATGTCTAGGTAAGTCACATTCTGCAGAATACAAAAACGGAATAATGAAATGGATATTAATTTAGAATTCAGAAATAGATTTAGTTTGGAGAAAAAAATACATTAATATATTAATTTTTAAATATTTCTAAATAAAGAAATTATTTCTACAAATTATATTTTTTAGGTTCTAAGCTATTATTCTTTATTTTTTTATATTTTTTTAAATATTATTATTATTGGCAATTTTGACCAATCTCCTTTATTTAACAAAATAGACATTTGCCAGCAGATCATTCTGTAGGTCTTAATGACGTGACTTCAAAATACACAGTGATCAATGTAGTAGGTCCCAAAGCTACTGAACTGCTTTCCGAGTTATCCAACTCTGATATCAATCTTACACCCTTCACTTATAAGGTCAGATTACTTTTTTTTAATCGTCACTGATTCCATGTTTCTTTTTTAGTACAGATATTTCAAATTGATCATTTATTCAAAATAGTAGACAGTAAACGTTGCATATGCTTCGGATGTTATGGTAATGGCATTCACACACACGGGTGAATCTGGCTATTGTCTTTACATACCTTCGGAATATGCACTGCATGTTTATTCAACGTTAATGGCTATAGGCAAGGATTACGGTGCAAGAGACGTTGGCGTACTCACACAACGTTTTATGAGAATAGAAAGATTCATCCCGTTTTGGGCAGAGGAATTGACACCGTATGTTACGCCCTACGAAGCTGGAAGTAGTTACAGCGTAAAATTGGATGTTAGTACCAGCATTAATTCTATTGTGTTCTATTTCTATTTACCTATTCGTTTCCTACATATTTCTATATTTGAAATTAAAATTGGATATGTTTTAAATCAAACATATAAGACTTTTATATAAGATTATTGTATACCAAAGTTAGAGTTCGATAAAATTTAAAAATATTAAGAGCAATTACAAGTATGTATAGTATTAAAAACGAATCAAATCCGAACACAATAGTAAAATTGATATAAAATATTGCTCAGATATGATAAATATTTTACAATTTTATTATAGAAGGGCTATTTTATTGGCAAATCTGCTTTACAACAACAAAAGATACAAGGAGTGACAAGACGATTAGTTTTATTTATTCTTGACGGTATGGACTTGAACAAAGATGTATGGGCATGGGGTGGTGAACCGCTATACCGAAATGGTGAATTTGTTGGTACTGTCACATCAGCTGGGTAAATGTTTGTTTTTCCCCATTAGATGCTGTATTACACATTATTACTTATCTCATTCTGTATTATATAACATCATCATTAAGTTACATTATAATCATTACATATTATATACATTATAATCATTATTTCAGCTATGGTTTTGTAACAGAGAAACTCATTTGTCTTGGATTTATTAGTCTTCCTGAAACAGCTCGTAAACAAGAGATTAAAACTATCACAACAGACTTTATAATGGATTCAACATCATGTTACGAAATTGATATCGCTGGAACTAAATTTCCCGCTAAACCACATATCCATCCATTACCTATACCAATAAGCAGTCAGTTAAACAAAAAATATATCCCTACCCCAGTCATTTCATATCAAAGTGATGTGTCACGTTAAAAAGTAACATATTCTAGTCATTTTTTAATTATCTAGTCAGAATTTAATAAGAAAGATGTTACTGTTGTTCTGTATGTTTATTTATGATGTATGACATATTGCAATATACAAGTCACAAAAATAAGATATTAACTTTAATAGCTATGTTAATTAGCTTATTTATTGACTTATAATTAGCTATTTATTGACTTTTCAATAATAATAATTATAGCAATTATTAGTAGTTATATTATTTATTAAAATTATAATCTTCTGGAATATGTAATTTATTTTTTTCTACAATAAACAGATGTACATACAGAATGTTCCCTTTAATTTTTGCCCTTCAAATATTTTGAAGATTGATTTAAATGAAGAAGGATTTAAAAAAGATTAGAATGATTCACTTGGTTTCAAGAGAAATATGTCAATCATTGCTTAATCTTACGTAAAATTCTTTTAAAATTATGTCAAGATTGATTAGGTTTCTTTAAATCGAAATTTCGAGCTCATGGAAGTAATGACATCTAAAAAAATTAATCAAGATGACCCTTTATTTTTTTCTCTTGATCCTAATACTTTTGCGCATGTTTGGAACTACAATTAAATTTTTAAAACAAAAATTCGATTTCTTATAAACATTTTAAAACATTAAAATGTATCTTTTCATAATAAAATAAAAAAATATTTTTTACAGTTTAAATGTAATTTAATTGCATACAACAAAAATCCACATCTTTTCATGTAAGATAAGGATTTCTGAAAAAAAAAATAATAATAATAAAAATAGCTAAGTCAGCAAAGGTAAAAGACCCTTTTAATCTAATAAGATTTTCATCTTTGATATTTTTTCATAGTTCACGTCACATATGCTACAGATTTTTCAGTCTTGTACACACATCTCAGAACAGCCCTTTAGCTGTGTTAAACTGCCCGCCGTCGGCATATTATTTACTCGCACTCTATTACCGACGTCAAACGGGCACGTATGTACGTATGACGACGAATGAGACGCGCATTTCGCACGCTCGTGTGGTGTGGTACGCACGAAAGGAGCATGGCCGCGCGATGTTATTGAAGATTCAACGCACGGAAACGGGAGGGAGTATTGCGGAGCACTGCGAGTGTCCGAGCGGAGCTGTGACGCGGAATTGGCGGGCACGAATCAGCACGAACGTCCGTCGGGAAAAGCGAACCGAACGAGCGTGGACGAGAACAGACGGAAAGAAAAGGGATCGGCGTGAGCGGTGACTGATCGTGGTGACTGGTCGTGGACGGCGCGGAGGCGACGGAGCCCGCAGAAATTACGGAAAATGTGTTCGGCGAGTCATCGCGAATGTCATACACCATCCGTGCCGTGATTCGCGTCCCGCGCTCCAAAAATAAACGGCGCGGTACGTTTCATCACGTCATTGACGAAGAAGAGTCGACTCCTTTCGTCTCCTCTCATCTCATCTCCTCTCATCGAGATCCGTGTTCCTTCGGCGAAGCGTGTTTTCGTCGCGTACTGATCCGTGCTTTGTCGCTTTGTGCGCCAATTCTTTGGTTAGACGCGGCGCAATACGGGACGGAGCGGCACAGCACCGCATACGGTCCATCGAGATCTGACGAGCCAGTCAGCTGTGCGGTGTGCGGTACCTATCAACCTACCCCCTTATCTCCCTTCCCTTCCCCTCCCCTCCTTTCTCCTTCCACCCCTCTGCCGCCCGTTCCGATGGCGGGCATCCGCGTGTAGTCCCACGCGCGCGACGAATTCTCGGTCCTGCCGCATCTCGAGTGTGTCGAACGAGCGTAAAAAAGACACGTTCCCCTCTGTTCAAATCGATATTTCGCAACACGGCGTGTATCCGTGGCGAGGACACGATCGTATACATACACCCGCATCTCGATGTGCAACCTCGACGGCGGCACGGTGGTCACGCGCCATTAGATTTGCTCGTGGTCTCGATCACCGATGTTTACGCGACCAGTCGAGATCACTGGGAGTTTGAGGATTTTCACGGGAGCATCACCTTGCTCTGCAAGAAGAAAATACGGACGACGCGCGCGGGATGCAGGAGAGATTTTAGAACGGCCGTGAGATGCGTACGTGCATGTATGCATGCGTGTATATGAGTGTGGTGTGTGTGTGTGTGCGCGCGACGCGCGTGTGCGTGTATGTATGCGCGCGTGCTGCTGCTGACGGGTGTATGTATTTACTTTTGCGCTTACGTTATTTTTAACCGACGATGTACAAAACACACGAACAAAGCCATGGAAAGTCTCTATCCACTCGCGGCAAAAGCTCATTCTCGGGATATATTCCCAGTGGCATAGCTTTTATCCGAGAGAACGGGAAAAACTCGCTGGTCGAGTGCCTCTGATATATCGCATGTCAAATGAATTCCACAAGTAACGATATAGATCTCGTATTTAAATAAATCATATGAGTGACTTTGCTGTTTTGCAGATTTATAGTACACAGTGAACGTGCCCTACCAAGTTAGTGATCTATCGGCAAATTATTGTGTTACCAGCAGTTTGTGGACCGACAGAAAGGATGTCACTAAAACCCAAGAGAGTAGATTTTAATCAGACGTGGAATGTATTACAAGAGACTATTAGAGGAGTGATAACATTGGCGAATATCCCACGTGCTATATGGAACGACAGATTTAGGTACAAGTATCTGTAAACTTTATTTACATCTTGATACTATAGAAGAGAGTATATATTAAAGTATTGTATATTTTGATTTCAGCGATGTTTATTCTTTGTGCGTTGCATATCCAGAGCCACTAGCAGACCGATTATACGACGAGACGAGGAGGTTTCTGATTAATCATGTAGATCATTTGCTAATACAGGTGAATTCATACAATGATATGTGGGAGCTACTCCCGGCATATTATCGGGCCTGGACAGAATACTCGCAAGGCATTTACTACTTGCACAGTTTGTACTTATACCTCAATCAACAACACATCAAGAAGCAGAAACTCTCCGAGGCCGAACTCATCTATGGCACCAGTTTGCATAATAGAGAGGAAGAGTGCCAAGAGCAGATGGAAATTGGCGAGCTTGGTCTAGACATTTGGAAAAAAAGATGATAATACCACTTAAAGAAAAACTCGTTTCTCTTCTACTTATGTGTTTTGATGCCGATAGAGAAGCAAGGTTGCTCGCTGCCACAGATGTTATTTGTGGTGTTATTGACAGCTTTGTTCGAGTAGAAGAACACAAAAATGAAAGGAAAATTAAACGTAATATATTATATTAATTATATATTTTTATTGCTCGCGAGTTTTTATTCAACAAGAGAGATTTCTTTCATTCAAAAATTGCTTACTAAATTAAAAACTTAATTTTTTTAGTTGTATCAAGAAATTTTCGAGGCACCATTTTTGGAGGCTAGTGGGGAGTTTTATACAGCAGAGGCATCAGCACTGTTGCAAGAATCGGACGTTACTCATTACATAGAGAAAGTAACATGGAGACTCGGTCAAGAGGAAGCACGCGCTTACAAGTTCCTTCACAGCAGTTCTGTAGAAAAAGTGCGCTGCTTGCTTTACAAGTGATTTTAAGATTCAATGGACATACAACAGTGATATTTCGTTGTAGGTCAGAGCGTGTTGCGAAAATAAAATGGTAGCTGCGCACGTAGATTTACTTCATTCGGAAGCAGAGATAATGATAAAGAATGAACGTAGACGAGATCTGACTCTTCTTTATCCGTTATTGAGGCCGTTGCAAGGAGGTTTAGATCCACTTATACAACATCTCACACGTCACATCACGGCGCAAGGATTAGAGGCAATCGGACCGTTGCAAGGAGAAAACGTGAGTATTGAACAGCAAAAGTAGTAACAAATACGTACAGACTTATGCAGCTTTGTAGAAAAAATTAATTTCTTTAATTTCAGGTATACATGCAATTTGTGGAAAACATGCTGAATGTACATTCTAAATATTCTGAAATGATTAAGGAAGTATTCAATTCAGATCAAAGTTTTGTAGGTGCTCTTGATAAAGCATGTTCCGCCATTGTAAATCATAGACCCGCTGCGAACCAGGCTGTTCGAGCACCAGAATTGGTAAATTGTTCTGAAGTGATATTTTTCAGCTTTTAGCAAAATATGATTTCTATTGATAAGAGTTGATATGGTATACATGTATATGTTCTCTTAGCTGGCAAAATATTGCGATACTCTATTGAAGAAATCGCCCAGAGCTGCCTCCGAAAGTGAAATCGAGGACAAGTTGAAACGTTCCATAATCGTGTTCAAGTACGTGGATGATAAGGATGTGTTCCAAAAGTTTTATTCTCGTATGTTGGCGAAGCGGTTGATACATCAACAGTCGCAGTCGATGGATGCTGAAGAAATGATGATCGATGATCTGAAACGGGCATGCGGTTACGAGTTCACGAATAAACTTCATCGCATGTTCACGGACATATCTGTCTCGATGGATCTCAATGCAAAGTTTACGGCAACTTTGCGGGAGAATGATGGAGAAAATCAATTGGGAACTGGTTTTTCAGTTAAAGTGTTACAAGCCGGTGCTTGGCCACTTGGTCTCCCGCCATCGCCTGGCCCATTCCACGTACCGCGGGAACTGGAGAGATCCATTCAGGCTTTCGAGACGTTCTATCATACGCAATTCAGTGGTCGGAAACTTACGTGGCTACATCATCTTAGTCAGGGCGAGCTTAAGTTCAATTATTTAAAGAAACCGTATTTGGTCACTGTGCAAACTTATCAAATGGCGTTATTATTGCTCTTCGAGGATTGTGATACGATGCCATGTAGAGAAGCGGCTGCTTCGCTACGTTTGTCGCATGACCAACTAGTGAAGCATGCCACTAGCCTCGTAGATTGTAAAATTCTCAATAAATCCAACGACGGCGAATTGGAGGAGGATACTATTCTCATGCTCAATTTTAATTACTCTAACAAGAGAACCAAGTTTCGCGTGACCGGCGTGTTGCAGCGAGACGCGCCACAAGATACGGAGGTCACGCATCGTAGTGTAGACGAAGACAGGAAGATGTTTTTACAAGCAGCCATAGTTCGTATCATGAAGAGTCGCAAGTTGTTGAGACATAATCAACTCATACAAGAGGTAAGTTGGCAGTCTTGGCAATGCGATATAAACCGTGCAACGGTGCTTCGCGTAACGATGTTTGATGTTAACCTCTGTTGTTTCAGGTGCTGAGTCAATCGAAAGTTACTTTCGCACCTTCAATCGGAATGATTAAAAAGTGCATTGAAACTTTGATAGATAAACAATATATCGAACGTACGGCAAATAGCGCGGATGAGTATTCATACATTGCGTAACCTTTTAACGTCTGTCACTAATTAATTTCATTTGAGATGCATGCCCAAACGTTCTATTGAGAATTAGCAAAGATTGGCTTGATAAATGAGGCTGAATTAATTTTGGCGATCACTGAAATTTTTGAGAATGAGTCATTAAAGAGAGAGAGAGAGAGAGAGGAATAAATGAAAAAGGAAATGAATTCTCAATGACATTTGAAAGATCGGGAAAAGCATCTTAGACCGCTTACTCGCTCTTAGGATCAATGAATTAATAAATATCTTAATTAATTTACTGACTTGTAACATATGCACACTGAATAAAGTTGACGTTACTATTTTATATTGGAGTAACATATCTCGTAAAGAATAATTTTATACATAATATAAATTTATTTTTTTTTTTTCTGTAATATAGAATCTATTCGTTTGAAAAATGGAGCAATCTCATATCTATATATCTTTCCTGTTACAAAATCTGTATAATTATTTTTATTCTAAGAATATAACGATATAAATTTTTTCATCGGCAAATGATAGATCATATAATATATTGATATATAAGAAGGCCCTAAGAAGGCGGTCACATTGTTATTATTATTATTTAAATATGTTTATCTTCATACGATCATTAATATTAAAACCTTTATGTCTTGTCATAAAAATTTGTCATGTGTTAATTCGAAATAACAATTTTCGAATTTCCATACTTTACGCGCAATATTTTTTAAAAATTTTTTAATATTGCAATTAAAATTTATATTGCAATTTATCTCATAATTAGCAAATCGCGCGTAAAATTTCTCAAAAAACGTGTGAAATATGTTATTCAATTTATAAATAATATGTTTATGCTATATTTATTTTTAATATTATTAGGAACGTGGAGGCTTTAATTGTAGTAATTCGGGATCGAGCAATGAATTATTGTCAGTTTCTGTCTCTGGTGGCTTGCTCATGTTGTTCACGATAAGAGATGATGCGCTGTCTGTATTATTGTAAGGAGAGAAACCTGCCCATTCCATCCCGAGATATATGGGACTGCATGGTGACTCCAACAACAAATGATCCGTATGTTGCGACTGATGTTGTATATCCTGACAATCTGATGGTGGTAAGTGCGACGTCATGTGAGTTGCAATCTTACATTGCTTCTCCTGTTTGCGCCATTTCGCTCTCCGATTTTGGAACCATACCTATTTGCAGCGAAAATGTTATAATACTTTCAATTCAGATACTCCAATAATATATATATATATATATATATATATATATATATATATATATATATATATCTCGTTAGAGAGAAACATGCGGCAATTACTTGTACTCTAGCTTCTGTCAATTGAATACGAACTGCGAGTTCTTCCCGAAAGAATACGTCGGGGTAATGAGTCTTCTGAAAAGCGCGCTCCAACTCCTCCAATTGGAAATTGGAAAATGTGGTGCGGTACCTACGCTGTTTCCTCTTGCCGATAATGCAAGACGGTCTTTCTTCGTTTTCAGGACTAGCCGAGAAATCATACGCTATAAGAAGACAGAGTTTTATCTATCATGATAATACTATTTTGATTATTTAGGATAGAGACATCGGAATGAAATTTGTCAAATATCAATAGTGTTTGTCTGTAGTGGTTGTCGATGCTTCAATGTTGTATAAGAATCCGATTAACATGTCGCTGAATTTTACACCGCGTTGTCGACGTCGAAGTATGTTGGCGTAGCAAACGCTTCATAACTGTTAAACTGATTACTACTAACTCTATTTAAGAAAAAGGGTTGACTGCGGATCCACTTAATGCACTTAGCAATAACTTAATTGAGTGGCACTCTACCTCAACTTGGGGATACCGACGGCGGTGGTTAATTAAGTCAGGTCCTGAGTGACACGCGGCATCATGCACTTACTGAATTTCGCAGGGAAGCAGACTGAAGTGGATTGCGCACCGCCAATCAGACCGGTCAGGGCGTTCGATTGTAAATCGTCACTCTGATTGATGTCATCGGAAACACTCGTCGACGACGCCACGAGTGCACCGGCTGATACCAGCGGATCACGCGGCGCGCTGACCAGGAATAGCTGCCTGCCCTCGTTTCCGCTCTCGTCTTCCTCGTTCAGATCCATCCCGCAAGAAGTCCGAGGAAAGTTGATGAATCAAGTATAATAGAATTAATCGCACGCGATGCAAAGTGTACGACACGAAGTTGAAGTTCGCTCGATGGAAAGTTCGTACTCATTCGAATTGACTGTGACTCCTCGCTGTTTCCTCGTCTTCCGTTTTCTTCGGAGTTTTTTCCTTCCTTTTCTTACACTTGTACAATGCATATAAGCGGAGTAGGGAACAGAGTATACTCAAAGTGAACTCCCTCAAGGGGTGTGGTGAAGCCTAAAAAATGTGTTGCTTGTACACCACTAATCAATAGCGTACGGCTATTATAGCATACGACTATGTGATAAAGAAAGCTGCAGATCTCTCGCCGGCGAATGGATTTTCTCGACAAACAAATTTTGCAGATTTGCAATTATACTCTATAATTTTTAATTGCATTTTTACAACAGCAGACGGTCTTTTCCCCGTTTGCTGTATTTTGTGAAGTTGGAGATGTATATTTTCATACCTGCCAAAATGTTTAATACATGCCAGGGTAATTCTAAAGAAATTTCTATTTGCAATGCATATATTTAAGAGATTAATGATAGAAATATAGTTTAGTAATATGGATAGATTATAAAAAGTGCACATAAAATGTGATTCTTTTTAAAATTTTATTGTTTGATGTAGTGTATTACAATATGTACAAAACTTATTGCATTACTTAACGAATAACAAATAAATTAACGTGCTTTAACAGTGCAAGTCATATCTCTCACATTTTCAAGAGTGAAAAACATATTTTAGGTATATTAGGCCTTGCTTAAAAAATGCTATTGCCTGATCAAAATTTTCTAATTTTGCACTCACTTGTTTGCGTGAATCTAATTATATATAAATCACTACAAAATTATATGAAATTGTCAATATCATTTCACTAATAAAATATATATATATATAAATATATATATATATATATATAATATATATATATATATATTATATATATATATATATATATATATATATATATATATATATAT